TACGAACTAAAGGGATATTGTTTTCATCCCATAAAGCTCTAAAGTATAATACAAATGGGTGATAATTTCACTGACTATCCAAATAATGCGTTCGTATCCCAAGCCCACCAGAAGCGGGACAGATCCTAAAATTAAGCCCAATTGTTTCTTAATGCCCACACCAATAAATTCAGACCACGGTAATTCATTACAAAAAACAACAACATCGCATTGCACTGAAGACCTCGGCAGATTAAAATCTTGCAGAGACTCGCCTAGAATTCCTCTTTTAAATTGTTACATTTTTCGAGTGCCCCAATGCATCGCGGACGCGGATGCTTTGACTAAAAACCTAGCGACCTGGTCTATTCATGTTAATCTGAATGACTAAAAAGTCAATGCCCTTTTAATATCCTCAATCATGTAACAAATTTAAACTACATCCCTCATGCATCTTTCAAGGGTAATTTATTAATGTCAACAATTGAAGAGTAAAGACGTGCAGTATTTAGCTCCTTTTTTACACATCACTTTCTTCACAAAGTTCTTGAGTATTTCCTCTTTTAAAACATAACAACAAATATTTTGAGAATACTACACCTCTCTTGTCTATTCAAGCAATTTAAACAGGAATGCAGTTTTTCTTCTCCTAGAATGTTATCTTACACAAATGAATAATTACACTGGCCATCCAAACGATGCAACCATTCTTTATTATACCGATTGTGTATGTTCACGCGGCCTATAGTTCAATGTATTTTATTTTTCTTCTTCCTTTTCCGTAAAAAAAAGAGAAGACAATCCATTTATTCATGTAATTAAATACCTATCCATTTGTAAAAAAGAATTTGTTAATTGGTAATTTTTGCGTATTTTTTCCATGTAAAATTTACTTGAAAACATTAGTTTTGCCACTTACGCACTAAATCTAAGTCTTGCTAACTCAAACTTTCAATTTAGTAGAACATACGTGGATATTTAATTAAAATCAAATACATAAGAACTTTAAGTAATTTCAGCTTGTATTAATTTAGTAATTTTAACTCAAATTGAAAATCAGAAATTATACGTATTACTCAAACAATTTGGCCCGAATTCACAACGGAGGTCTGAGGACAAACCCGGTTTGATCAGACCAAGGTTTGTACAAACCTTGGTTTGAGCTCAAACCTGGTTTGTCCTCAAACCCATTCCACAAAGGAAGGTTTGTATAAACCTCGGTCTGTAATTCCCAAACCTCGGACCAAGGTTTGTAAAACTAGTCTCAGCCATAGGGTTTCTAACATAATTTTTATGGGCTAGGGTTTAAATGTTAAGAATTGAAAAAACTGTTAAACTAAGCATTCTTAGTATGATCCGGACATCTTAATGAGCAATCTTGAAAAGATGATGGTTAGAACATCTCTGAAATAAACTTTTGAATTGCATTTTCATGAATTAATCGAACCAAACTGGCGCGCCGATGCAGAAAGTGCCCCACGTACTCACATTTGTGTGGTGCTGGTGAAGCACTCAATCTGACCCAGAAAAAATTGACATCGGCACCTGGAAAACTTCGTTAGATAAATACATCTAAGGTTGTCAAGGGATCTTTTAAATTGACTATAAGAGTCTTGTTGTTTTGGGGGTTACAAATTCTTATCAATAAAATCACCTAATAATAATAATATAATAATGATTTAATATGAATTAAGTTTTTATTGTGATTAATATATTAATTCATTTGATTGCAATTGTTAATTACTATAGATCTATATAGTTATTTTGTTAGAATGGTCAATCAATTATTATTTTAACTAGTTCCCCGTTTGTTTCCCCAACTGGCTATTTTTTCACATCAAAATTGTAACTGGTAAATGATTTGTTTCCATATAATATTAATTTAAAAAAAATTCCTCTATGGCCATCTTTTCTTTCTCTCTCCCTCCCTGTCTCTTTCTCTGTCCCCGTCCCTCCTCTCTCTTTCTACCCATTTTTATTCTCTCTCCCTCCCTTTCTCTCTCTATTAATTCTTTTTCTTTCTCCCCTCTCTCTCTCTCTCTATTCATCTTTCTCTCTCTCCCTCCCTGTCTCTTTCTCTGTCCCCGTCCCTCTTCTCTCTTTCTACCCATTTTTGTTTTCTCTCCCTCCCATTCTCTCTCTATTAATTCTTTTTCTTTCTCCCCTCTCTCTATTAATCTTTCTCTCTCTCCCTCCCTGTCTCTTTATCTGTCCCCGTCCCTCCTCTCTCTTTCTATACCCATTTTTGTTCTCTCTCTCTCTCCTTTTCTCTCTCTATTAATTCTTTTTCTTTCTCCCCCTCTCTCTCTCTCTATTCATCTTTCTCTCTCTCCCTCCCTTTCTCTCTCTATTAATTTTTTTCTTTGTCCCCTCTCTCTCTCTATTCAACTTTTTCTCTCTTCTTCTTCTTTTTTTGCAATGAAACACATAATGCAAAACCATGCAAACTGCAAACACACACATCTGCACCACAATAGTAATCTACCGTTTGTTCAAACAATGCAGTTCACATTTGTAAATTTTGTAGCATGCTTATATGAAATATAGCCCACTAGAGGTTAAGAGAGGCTCTGGAAGGCCAATTAAAAGTCTCACTGTAGCGCTATTAGCAGAAAGAAAATCAGAAATACAACAAACTGGGTGACGAAAATTCAAATTTGCACATAAAAGTTCTTTAATTCTGACTTCGCTTAGTACAGTAAATAATATTTGTTCGAATACTCTCCCCTAGCTGACAACCAAATAATTTATATTGACCCACCCCTCAACTCAGCAGTGTATACAATGCTAATTATAGTTAAATCGGGTGCATTTAATCTATAGAGAACACTTAATTACAAATACCGTCAGAGTGACAACAAATACTTATCAACTAAACATAACATCAAAAATATTCATAAATAATCAACAGTTCAACACCCAGGTTCTTGATGTAATGCTGCATAACTACGAAGTATTGTGGGAACACCAGGGAGGGGCCGTATTTTGAAATACATTTTGAGGTAATTCCAGTTGCAATCGAGTTAAATCTGTATTTTATATTACTTATTACTGTATACATTGAATTTTTTTGTGGAATCCTTAATTAAATAATGTATAGCTCACTAAATAGATAGATAGTGGTGGTTATTTTACTTGACAGCTAAGAAAGCAATAAATGCTTGTTAGTAAGCTCCAGTGTTAGCTGTTTTAGGCTATACTTGTCTAAACCAATGCTATATTTGCACAACGTGAATTTCCCCAATATGGGCAACAGGAAAGCATAAAAATAATTAAGAAGTGTCGACCTTCTCTCTTAGATTGATGAGGCATGGAACGTCCTCATCCTTGCATTTAATAAATATGCGCTCAATTACACATCTCCCTTTTTTGTGTGTGAAGTGTTAAAGCCCCACTGTACTACTTGTAGCTACTTTCTCCCTCTATATAGAAAACTTCCCCAATCTGTGCCTGTTAATCCCCCATGATCCTCTTTTTCTTATGTTAATTGAGAACTGAATTGATGAGATAGCCTCCCGTCAGTGACCTCCTGTGGTCGACCCTCTGAATGAAGAAATGGCTTCTGATGAGGCAGGGAAGGCATGGATACCTGCAAAATTGAATGGACAAAATAAACAATATCATAAACAATGTTCTTAATTTCAACTTGTTCATTTTTTTTCTTGAAGGGGGGTGGGGGGGGGGGGGGTAATACTATAGAAAGGATACAATGTATTGTACACATAATCAGGAATTATTCAATCCTGTGTCACTAATACAAAAACTATGAGGTTCCAGTTGACAACAAACTAATCAAGTTACATCCAGATATCAAAAACATTAATTGTGATTTGTGAACTGAAATTTAAAAGCACATGAGCTCGTTTGAATTAATTACTTAATGCGAGTTGTTACTATATTACCGAATGAACATTCCTAACATGTCACATGTTGGCCAAATACAAAAAAGGAAACAAGATTGATTAAGAAAAAGAATAAACAAATGTTATCATATAACGAAATAATCTACCTACCCTATAGTCTATCTTCAAGAATCAACTGTTATTCATATGCCCTAGCATGAAGCTGTCAATTCAGTGCACACTCAGAAAAGATCCTGGCATCGTGGCTGCTACCAGTCCAGGCCACCTTGCAACGATACTAGTTATTTTCCCAGCATAATCACAGACAACCTGTCAATATGAAATAACATGTTGGCATTCATTAGTTATAAAAACTCACTCATTTCACACTTCAGATAGGCCGTAAAATGTATAAATTTCACTTGTTATTTATGGTAATTAATGCAAATGCAGTTGAATATGTGATAATTGCTTTTCAATATCTATTTATACAACAAAAATTGGAAGAAAATGCTAATTACCCCATATTTATTGACTGATGAAGTATTTCTTCATTTTTAACTCATGTTTTCATTGTTTATCTTGTAACAATGTAAACAAAAATAATCTCACTTTTAACAAAACATTTCGAGCCTAAAACAACAAATGCTTTGTGTGTGGGGGGGGGGGGAGGGGCGTACCCACTCTCGCATCTTTTTATTGGAAATGAACCTGTTTGTTTTTCTATAGTTTAAAATATATAGTGGTAATTGCCATTGATCAATTTACAGGCTTCTCTTTGTTGTTTTTTGTTTCATTGATCAATGGCAAAAACAGTGGCCCAATTGCCATGGCCATCAACAAAATATCAGAAATCTAGAGGTCATATTGCCAATAGAAGGATGGAACAAGTTTTGATTTTTCAAATTTCCCTTTCGTTAAAAAGATATTTACGAGTGTTAGGATTTTTAAGTTTAACTATCCATTGGATATTCTTAACTGTGTACAAAGGCAGTGAAATGAGTACCTGTACGCGAATATTACTTTAATATCCATTTGGCCACTAGAAATCTTGCATTGGTCACCAATGAATTAGCATGGATGTACAACACACAAGACTGGAGAGTGTATATATCTAATGTGAAAATTTTGCAAGGTACAAAAAAAAGGTCTAAAGGGAAAGCAGTGCTGGATCCAGTCATGATGTATTCATTTATTCTCACCTAAACATCGATGGAGTACCTGTTCTTCCTATTGAAGTAGTACCTGGCTCTTGCCCCACCAGGGCTCCTGATGTAAACATGTGTCCCATCAACAGCAACTCCTGGAAATCTGCAGTACTGGAAAAACTGCTTCTGAATAGTAGTCACTTTTTGCCTTGTTGTAACCTGTAGGAAACTTCATAACTTGTCCCTTTCTTCTGACAACAGCTTCGGAAACATCTCTCACTACTCTCCATTCGGCAAACAGATGAATGTGACACGGCATGCCACCTCCTCTCCATGCATCCTTTAGATCGAATTACCCTTAAAAGAAACAAAAAAAACAAGCATTCGAATAAATCATATTTTTGCTGGTTTATGCCATTATATTTTTGCATCCCTAACTGTCACTTTCACTTTAAAAAAAAATTATCCTGATTTCTAGATGTGGTGTGAATCAGTTTAACGTAAAAGACAAAATTGTCCATGCCTTTTCTAATCTCCTTTACGGCTTCACCTTTTGTAAAATAAGTTTAAGTAGTTAAGTAGTTTTACACAAAACAACAAATCACAAACCTGTTTCCAACACATAATCTGAATAATTTCCTCATGTATTAAAGCCAAATAACAGTATTGGGAAATGCCCCACACACAAATTATGAACATTAATGCTTCCATCACCTACAGTACCATGTAAAAGAATAAATATCATAACTATCTATCAATGTATCGAATATGACAGAAAATGTTTAGAAATTGAATAAATTTATGTAAATGCACATGTGTATTGCATTGGGGGCTTGCACGTTCGTAGGCAGACCAGCGAAGCGGGGCAAACGAACAGTGAATTTAGGCGGTCAACATGAATTGAAATATTTCTGCATTTTAATAACGACACTAGGGTTGGATTTTACAACAGAAACCCTTTTTTTTTGTATAGCTATGTTAACAATATTCATCAAGTAGTTTGGCCATGTTTTCGGCAACTTTCCCAATACAGAATTTGAATTCAAAGTAGCCTACCTCAATCTAAAACAAAAGGCTCATCATCCAGCGGGTTTTCCCAATCTCAGACTCAGAGGCCTCTGCCCGGTTGTGCTGCTATATATTGCTCCAGCTCCTCCTCCTCCAGGTACACCAGCTTATTATGCTGAATCAGCTGCATTTCTACCATCTTTACTAGAGTGAAGATAAAATTAAACAAATGTTTAAACAATGTTTTTAAATTAAAGAAATGTTATTACTTGTGCTTGTGACTTTTTGGGTGATCCTTGCTCTGGAGACTAAGCCAGTTAATTAAGACAATTAGAACCAGATCTAAATTTAATAAAACTAAGTTTTGCTTGTCATGACTCATACTAGACTAGATCTAGTCATAGACAGAAATAACCGTCTGAGTGATATGGGTCATTTCTTTAATAAAAATAATAAAACTGACATTTGTTGACATTCTAATCTATAAATAATCAGAGATCTAGTGGAGCCAGACGTAGTCTCAGTGAACAACCGGCGATATAGAGAGACTGAAGCTTTTGGTCTATGCCTGTCAGTGTGATTCATTTTGGGAAACATTGGCATTGCTGATGCCATTTCAATTTCTATTTATTTAGGTACATGTACCAGTGTCAGTGAAATTGAAACAAGTCAAGTGATGGACATCATTGCCAGGCCTATACTAAGCTAGAGCCTGGTATTCATTATCATGAATTTGTAATAACTAGTGTAGGTCTAGGCCTAGTCTAATTGGCATGTGTCATGGCATTGCTGACAACAAGACGAAATTAAACATGACAGTCATACTGACATAGACTAGGTCTACTCAGATATAGATCTAGTCTACTGTAGGCCCGGCTAGGCCCAACTCCAGCCCAGGGTCAGAGGGTGCGAGCTCCGCCGCCGCCTTGGGCGTTGGACTCGAGCTCCCTCGGACTCAGTCCCTGAACTCTGGAATTGAGAGGCGGTCGGATATGTAAACACCGAACATTTCATGGAAAATGGAAAGTTATAAAGCATATCAAATATTGAAATGTCAATAAAGTAAAGAGTATGGATTCGACTAGATGTACAGTTTTTATACTTACGATTTTAAGGAAAGGATCGAGAGATTGAGAGATTTCAATTGCACTAAAATCGGGCTGACCAAATACTATCGCAGATTGTTTTGGCGGTGAATTATTTGGATAAAATCAATCGAGCATAAATTATCTCCACCTAGTGCTGCATCCTGATTGGTTGATAGCTCTCAAACCAGGTTTGAGAAATTACAAACCTCCTATCTGAGCAGTCTGTAAATTTCGGGTCTGATGACGTACATAAACCTGGTCTGAGGACAAACCTTGCTTTGTGAAATGTAATTTCAGACCAAGGTCTGAACTCAAACCTGAAACGCGTCATATGACGTACATAAACCTTGGTCTGAGGACAAACCGGCTTTGTGAAATGCATTTCAGACCAAGGTCTGAACTCAAACCTGAAACGCGTCATATGACGCACATAAACCTTGGTCTGAGCTCAAACCTTGCTTTGTGAATTCGGGCCTTTATGTTGATTATTCTTATCTTTTTAAAGTAAAAACCGATGCAGTGCGTGATAGAAATATTTACATAATTTATGAATATTCATTAAGACCAAATTAAACTCTTTTTTAAATAAAACAATTCTTTTTTGTGGTTGAATGAAAATTTAAGGACTTTAAAACATTTACTTATTCATTTAACATGGCTAAGCAAAGACAAAACAATTTTTAATTGTTACCCCGTTCAAAACAAATCAAAACTTGATATTTCAGGAAATTGTCAACCAATTTTCCTTTAAAGATGCTACGTTCAAGTATATATAAAATTTGGAGCCTTTCAATATGTGTCGAATTGAAGCGTATGTAATAGTTTGTGATGATGGTAGATATATATATATACGGTTAAATCTTAAATAGAAGTAGTGAATGATAAGTGAATGTTACTTGTTAGATTAGATGGGCACCAAATCGTGCAATATGTAATCTTATCATGACGAAAACTCGTCGTTTAAAATTGAAACCCCCATTTGACTTTCACCATTTCTACTTGTACTAGAGCTGAGATTGTGATAAGCCCTAAGTAAACACTAGCGCTGTAATCCACCCCCACCGAGACCTTGATGAGGTGATAGCGAGAGAGAGATAAGCATGATTCAAGGGGAAAGGAAGGGAGAAGGGAGAAAGAGACACATGCAGGGGTTCGCTGCCAGAGTTTAAATTGTTGTTATATCGCCAATTATGGGTCATTTTGCTTCGTTCGAACTTTCATTTTGGTCTTCATCTAAATTATTAGTGACTATAGGACATGAAAATATCTTAAAACAAGTAAAATACTTATTTCCTACTTCTCATTTCCTTTCAGGCAGACCCCAGTAAGAGTTTGTGTACACTAGTATTACGTAAGATGATGTAGAGTCCAGCTGCAATCTAATATCTTAATCTCTCACTCAGAGCCTCAAGGCTCTGTCCAAGTTTTTAACGAGAGAATTGAAAGTGGGGTAGTGAGACCCCATCAGATTCCCATTGGTGCCTGTGTGATAGTAGTAGCTCTCTCAAAGTTTTAACGAGAGAAACGAAACTGGGGTTTTGCTACCCCACCAGATTACAAAGTTTTAACGAGAGAAACGAATCTGGGGTAGTGCTACCCCACCAGATTACATTGACTGCTGTGCTATAGTGGTGGGGTATAGTTTTAACGAGAGCTTTTCGTAATGTCATAGCTTTTTTTTAAATTATCTAAAATGATTACAATACTTAAATGATTTACGTTAATGTAACTCGATTTAACTGAGTAAAAATTTATTCAGCAAAATAAGTACATTTTACTTAAGATGCCGTAGGTAATATTTACTTAATAAAAATAAGGCAATTCTTTTCCTCAAGTGTATTGAGTTATTTCGACTATTATTTTTTTACAGTGTATCAATAGAACCTCAAATTTCCAATAAATAATACATCTAATGCCCTTACTTTAATGTCCGTCTTTGTCCCATGTTTGTTTTTCTATATCAAATTATCCTCTACACCTATATATACAGTCTCCCTTGCCCTTGCATTAAATAACATAAAGATTTATTATTTTATCCCCTCTTAATAATTACTCATCACTGTAAGTATAATATAACCATTCTCTTCAGCATCGTAAGCGCTAAAACATTCATTTTAATGAACTCCGTAAGACGAGAAGGAAACCAAAATATTTTCTTTATAATTCATACTCTGCATTTCACAAATATATTCATATTTTCATTCTTCCTCTCGTCCACTTTTTTTGTTACACGATTCAAGAACCATGTGATTTAAGTCGTTGCGTATTTCAATACATCAACATAAAAAAAGAACATTTGATACTCAATTTCTTTGTCTTCGTTTGTATAGGTTTCTCGAATTTGCCACCCAAACAGTTACATTTTCTCCCCAATCTGCAAACCAGTTAAATGTCATATCACGTTTAGTGTTCGTTCTCATTTCCATCACACTTGTCTCTTCAGTTTCAATCCTTCCTAAGTTATTATAAAGCCGTCACTCGATGATTAATTGTTTCCTCCATTTTTGTTTTCTTCTTCATTTTTTGTTCCTATAATCCATTCACTCTCAATTCAGTCACAATTATGGATGTTGATAAAGATCCTAATCATTCTCATTTCAGTCGTATAATCCTTAATAAACGATAAAAAATAAAAAAAATGCAAATAGCTCACTGATCGTAGCTGAAGGCGCTATTAGTCTTTCTGTCAATGTAGATCCAATGAAACTTCTCTCTATATTTCTTCCATATTACTCGCTGCATACTGCTCCGAGAAAATGAACAGGTCGAAATCCGTAATTGGTCTAGTCTGCTCCTAAACTGAACCGTCTGTCCTTCTTTACTTCCCGGTAAGACAAATACACTATAATGGTGTCGCTGGATAGTAGAGCTGCTATTCGGTATATTATGTTTTCCACTCTCCGGTTCCTCGTTTATTGTGCTGGAGCACGACTTCTATGCCATAGACCGCGATTTTCGTAGACAGGTTTTTCTCTTTCCTCATAGTGTACGCGATGGCTGCTAGTTTTCCACGTTGGGCCTTTACGGTCGCGGGCAGATCCGTTCGTACAGAAACCCTTCTGCCGCTTGCATGAGTGGCGCCGCTGGTAGTCATGTGATGTGCTGCTGTCGTGTAGGCATGGTTGGCGTTGTTTCGGGATAGATTCTCGTACGCTGTCAATCCTTCATGATGAGAAATTTCGCTCTAACTGGGTCGGGCTGGGTGGGAGGTATTTTGGCGGCACCAGCGCGGGGTTTACGGGGTAAACGATGCGCGTTAGGTAAGCAAATGGCCGTGGCTGCTACCTCATATATCCTAAGGTCGATGAAGACTTCCTTTAATTGTTTTAGTTGATGTTTTCATTTCTCGCAGCTTGCTTTCCCTAGAACAACAGATTTGAATACCTATTGTATATAGATCTATGAGAAGGAGTTTCTTCTCAATCACTGTATCATCTTCTTTATGTTCCTCATTCAGTTTCGGGATTAGAACTATTTCAATCTTTAGGATGCGGTCCGATGTATCAGTTAAAGTCACCCAATTCTCAGATATTCTAGGGTGCATTTTCGAATTTCCCTCTCGTAGGTCATCCTATACACTCACCAATATGCATACGCATTTGAAATATAATCTTTTGCAATTTTTCATCTTGTCTTTAGATGTCTGTAATGGTTTTAAACTTTAAATAATCGCTAAACTCCTGATGTCATTTGAACAACCCATTTCTCTAAAACTCACTTTTGAACTCTTTGGTTTTCTGTTTATATATTTTATATTTGATTTTTAATTTATGTCAAACTATGTTCATTGTATTTGATATGTATATTTGTGTAATTTTGCATGTTTTTATCTGTAAATTGTATCGCAATTCAGCCTTTTACGGCTGCGAAGATATTTTGTTAATAAACCTTGAATTGAATTGAATCTTGAATTGAATTGAATTGAATACTTGAAAAAGGAAATTTTTGTTTTATTCCTCCAAATGAGTAATACAAACAAAAACGTGCGATTGAATAAAATAAATAAACGTTTTCAATATCAATATTAATTGCTTAAACATAAACATAATTAAGCAAACATTCATTTGCAGTATTTATATCTTAGCAACAAAGTGATCTTATAGTACATAAATATAATTTAAAAGTTATTGTACAATTTATTCACTCATATAAAAAAAAAAAAAAAAAAAAAAAATCTTGAGGTTATTTTACCGATACAATGCCTGCTCCTCCCTGCCCACCTTTCCCTCACACAAACACACACACACACACACACTACTCACTCAGTGCAGGGGCGGATCTAGCTGTCGACAAGGGAGGGGGCCAAAGAGGGGGCCCAATTCGTGAGAAATATTTAGCGGCGAATCAGCCAGCCAGCGAATAAGCAGGGGGGGGGGGGGAGATCTCTGTTTTTGTTTTAGTGCTCAACGGGGAAAGGGAGTAGGGTAGTGGGCACTATTTTTTTTTAATGAGTAGTGTGCGAATCAGCCAGCCAGCGAATGAGCAGGAGGGGGGGGGGGGGATCTCTGTTTTTGTTTAAGTGCTCAACGGGGGAAGGGGGTAGGGTAGTGGGCACTAATTTGTTTACTCAACACCCACCCCCCCCCCCCCCCCCTTGAGCGAGGGGGAACGGGGCCCGCCTTCTTATTTTTTCTTCAAAAAAGGTTTAATTTACCTGTTTTGGGGGCAGAGGAGGGGGCCCGGGCCTCCCCAATATTTCTATCTTTAGGAAAGACAATTTTTTATAACACGAAACATCTATTTGATTTTATAATTCCTGGACTTGTTTTCTGTTATTGTCTCTGTTTCTGTTATTGCAGAAAACACCATAACCACACCCTACCCATCTGGCTATGCATTTTCCAACCAAAACATTTAATTCTGTTGAATATCACAAAATGTATTACTATTCATATATTGTATAAGTTCAATATATAATTTTATTGCAAATATGGTAATACAATTCAGATTTCTGTAACTGTACCAAGCAATTTGCTATAATGGGCAACGATGGCGGCCCGACACATGCTCTGGCGGCGGTTGCTGTAGGCTTTAGTTCATCGGGGATGTGGGGTTGGGGTTGTATTTGTTGTTTGGTTTTGAGCTGGGTTTGTGCTTGGTGTTGGGTTGGGTGCGGTATACGTTGATTAATGTACTGAATTGCCGCTGAGTGATTGTAGCCGGAGCAGGTGTCGTAGAAGCACAATTATATATTATATGTACAAAAGAATTGCAATTTCAATACCATAATGTTACCATGCATAATGTTTTACGTGTAATTTTACTTTGTCACTAGTGTATACTTTGTAAAAGAATCTACAATTCGGCCCTCGGGCCGCGAATGTTTTTTAATG